GCACTATTTAGGAGCAGAGAAAATGAAAGGACTGAAGAGAAGAATTTGCAGACCAACATCATTCCCAGGAATCAAGCCTTCCTTGTGCTAAATGGTGATTTCTTTTTATGACTGAAATTTGGATAATTGAAGAATACATTTACTCTTTTAAAAATTAATTAATTTATTTTTAGTTTTCAACATTCACTTCCACAAGATTTTGAATTCCAAAGTTTCTCCCCATCTCTTCCCTTCCCCCGCCTTAAGACAGCATGCATTCTGAATACCCCTTCCCCTAATCTGCCCTGCCTTCTATCACCCCCCACTTATCCTATACTCTTCCCCTTCTATTTTCCTAGATTTCTATATCCCATTGCTTGTGTATCTTATTTCTCAGTTGCATGTAAAAACATTTGTTTTTAAAACTCTGAGTTCCAAATTGTCTCTCTTCCTTCCTCCCCACCCAACCTCATTGAGAAGGCAAGCAATTCAATATAGGTTATACATGTGTAGTCATGCAAAACACCTCCACAATAGTTGTGTTGTGAAAGACTAACTATATTTCCCTCCATCCTATCCCACTCCTTGTTTATTCTATTCTCTCCTTTGACCCTGTCCCTCCTCAAAAGTGTTTGCTTCTGATTACCCCCTCCCCCAATCTGCCCTTCTATCGTCTTCCCCTTCTTATCCCTTTTCCCCCTATTTTCCAGTAGGGTAAGATTTCCATACCCAATTAAGCGTGTATGTTATTCCTTTCTTAAGCCAAATCTGATGAGAGTAAGATTCACTCATTCCCTCTCACCTCCCCCTATTCCCCTCCACTGTAAAAGCTTTTTCTTGCCTCTTTTATGTGAGATAATTTACCCCATTCTACCTCTCCCTTAAAAAGTGTATTTTCATTTGAGATGTAAATCATGTTCCCTTTTGTCAGTTCATCATGCCAGAATCTCTCCAAAGCTGACTTAGCTAGCTACCAAGAGTCTAGTAAAAGCCTGGTCATTGCTCTGTCTCTGCGGTCTGATTGAAGAAGTACTAAAGAGAATTAGTTATGTGTGGGACAAGTGAAAGTTTCTCATATGAAATGGAAGCTATGCCCCAAAAATTTAGTTAAGGCTTTAGCATCAGCTGGGCCTAAGTTTCGTTTTCCTGTAAATCATATAATAGGGTCATACAGCAGCTGCCCACCCCCTCCCTTGTTTTGTAACCATCACCCCAGCCTTATCCTTACCAAATAAGGCAATCTTCTAGCTTCCAGGCTTGGTTGGGGTAAAATGTATCTCTTGGGTTCTAAATATAGATTGTAAGGTCTCTTGCCTCAAACAATGAGGATAAAGAGATTGAGGTAAACAAGTGTGTGGGGGGTTTCTTGGAGTGGTTTGTCTAAGGGTATATAACTAGTTGCTTGCTGTTGTATCTTGCCTCACTACTCCAGTCCGCCCTGGGTAGGTGATGACCAACTCTCGTGCGAGACTTGCTAGAATAAAACTTGTGTTTTCTACCTGGAGAAACCTCTGAGTTTTTATTTGGGTAAGTGGTCTCAATCCCACTCACTCACACACACACACACACATACACACACACACACACACACACAGAGGCACACATACATACATATGTAGAATCATTCTATACATACTTCTACTTTTCCGTTCTTTCTCTGGATACAGATGTCCTCTTGGTTCTGCTCATTTCACTCTTCATCATTTTCTGCAAATCTCACCATGTTCTTCTAAGATCATCCTGCTCATCATTTCTAATAGCACAGCAGTATTCCATCACTATCATATACCACAACTTGTTCAGATGATGGGCATCCCTGCAATTTCCAGTTCTTTGCCACCACAAAGAGAGCTGCTACAAATATTTTAGAACATATAGGTTCTTTTCCTTTTTCCTTAGTCATCTTTGGAGATAGACCTAGTAGTGGTATTGCTGGACCAAAGAATATAGATAGTTTAATAACTCTTTGGGCATAATTCCAGATTGCTCTCCAAAATGGTTGGATCAGTTCACAATTCCACCAATACTGAATTAGTATCCTGATTTTTCTACATCCCCTCCAACATTTGTCACTTTCCTCTTCTTTCATTTTAGCTAATCTGATATTACTTTGGAAATAATTTACCAAGCTTCCTAAAGCATGAAAATTTTTGTGAAAGGACTGAGTGCAAAGCAGTATACCTGTCACAATTGTCTTTCATTTTCTCTAAAGTTCTAACAAATCCAGTTTTTTCAACATTTTCCTAGACTCTATGACTTCCTTTTGGTTTATCTTTTGTTTACATTCTTCAGCTTTCAAAAGAATAGCATAAAAGCCTCTTCCTTTTAGTGCCTTACTGGCCTGGCCCTTTTGCATTTCACTCAATCTTTCTTTTAAGTATTTACTTGTTATGCCATTATAATAACATGGCAGTGAAGCTGCAAATTACTTAATACACGTGTAATGTTGATGTAGTTTTCTATTACGCCTTTAAGTTATGGTAATATGGTTTACTTGTTTGTATCTCTCGATGATAACTCATTTTTCTTCTGCCTTTTTCAGTCATGATAATATTTCTTTGAATTCATCTGCAGGGTGATACACTCTGTCCTATCCTTCATTTTAAATCTGCATATATCCCTCTGCCTTAGCTATGTTTCCTGTAGGCATCATGTTGCTACATTTTGAGTCTGATCCATTTATTCTCAATAATACTCGTCATTCAATCAAAGTATATGTCAAGCACCTGCTATGTACCAGGACATGTCCTGGGGATACACAAACAATCCTATCTGCATTATAATCGGTAAGTTTGGTTTTCCCTCCATTGCAGCCTGTGGCACAGGATAGATCACTGAACTTCGATTCACAGGGACCTGAGTTCATTCAAGCTCTGGCACAAACTCATTGTGTGATGATGGGAAAGCCAATTATCCTCTCTCAGCCTCAGTTTCCTCAACTGAAAAATGGGGATAATAAAAACATCTACCTCATAGAGTTGTTCTGAGGAGCAAATGATACATAGAGCATGTAAGGTGCCCTGTAACCCTCAAAGTGCTACATAACTGCATGCTGCCATTGTTATATTACTTGTTCTAATCAGTATAAATATGGTACCTTTTGTTCTGCTTATCTCAACCCAGTGCTAGTCTCTGAATGAACTCTCTTGTCCTTCCTTCTCCCTCCCTCTCTTACAGGTCACACCCTCTAACAGTAGCTGTCCCTCTGGGTCCTGGACCCTCTCCTCTCTGGTCCTTCTGTATCTTCTCCTCTCCTGTCCCCTCTTTCCCTCTCCTCTCCTCTCCTGTCCTCTCATCTCCTATCCCCTCTTCCCCTCTCCTGTCCTCTCCTCTCCTATCCCCTCTTCCCCTCTCTTGTCCCCTCCTCTCTTCTCCTTCCCTCTCTTCTCCTCTCCTGTCCCCTCTTCCTCTCTCCTGTCCTCTCCTCTCCTCTTTCTATCCCACTACCCTGGGTGATCTCATTAGCTGCCATGAATTCCATTATCATTTTCATCCTGATGATTCTTAAATCAACTTATCCAGCCCTAACCTCTTTGCTGACCTCTAGTCTCAGATCTCCAACTGCCTAGTGAACATCTCAAGATGGCTGTCTTGTAGACCTCTTCAATTCAATAATCCACAACTGAACTAATTATTTTCCCTCCAGACTTCTCCCCCCACTTCTGGACTTCTTGTTATTGTGAAGGGGACTACTATCCTCCCAGTACTCCACACTCACAACTCAGATGTCATTCCCAACTCCTCGCTCCCTCTCATATTCTTCATTCAATCTGTTGCCAAGGCCTATTGGCTTTATTTTTGTAACATCTCTTGCATACATCCTCTTCTCTCTTCTGATACTGTCCCCAGCCTGGTTCAGATCCTCATCACCTCATGCCTGGACTATTGTAGTAGCCTGCTGGTAGATCTTCCTGGCACATAACAGATAATAAATGTTGATTGATTGCTTGATCAAAATCCCATCTTCACAAGAAGGCTTCATGATCTCCATTAATTCTGATGTTTTCCTTCTGTTGATTATTTCTAATTTATCTCGTAAATACCTATTTCTACTACTTTTCAGAAAGTCACATTCTAGCTTCTTTTTTTATTTCTCAGTCTTGGCAAAAAGTCTAATGTGATTTCACTTGGAGCTTTTTGATTAACGAAATGGTTCATCTGAGTTGCTAATAAAAGCCTCTCCAAATCCCATACAGGAAATTTTCTTTACTGTGTAGCAATGCTCTTCTATCCCAAACTCCTATTCAGACTGTTAATAGGAGTCTCCAAAGGGCAACAGCAACACCTCCCCTCAGGGTTCTAGGAGACTCTGAGCAGGGTCCTGGGGCTTGCTTCTCTAGTACTATAGTTCATGAACCCCCACTGGTGTGCTTCCTTCATTGACTATCACTTACTATTCATTAACCAGACAGACTCAATTAGCTTTTAGTTAAAGGCATTTACTTCACCCAAAGTCTGGGACACACTTCTCAACGGATGTACTTTTAAACGTATCCCTGAGGAAAGCAGGCTCAAGCTTAGAGGACTTATGTGGCGAAGGTGTACACTCACAGCTCTTGATTATTGGAAGTCCTTTATTTTCTTTTGCTGGACTCCTCACGGATTCTCCTTGGTCACAGTGTAACTTTCTGTTAGTCTCTTTGTAGAGTCCTCAAGCTGCCTGTTCTTGCTCTTCCTCGGTGCCTGATGCACGCACTGCTGCCTGTAACGGCTGTTCCAATGTCAGCGACGTTGCTAGGATGCCTATGAGAACTCTGACATTTTGAAGTGCGTAATGTCTTCTTTTGATCAAGGAAGGAAGGAGGAAGATGCTCTTCTTTTCTCCCCTCCCAACCCCAAGCAATTCCCTATCACGTTCTTGGCTGGCATGGCTGCTTCCATGACTCTGGTCAGGCACTGAATGGGCTTGCACTTTGATCCGGAAGTCACTGGACACACTTCTCCGCAGCCGATTGCGCCGCGTTTCCTGCATAGCGTACTTTCGTTCATCCAGCGGTTTGGAGCGCACTTCTCCTTCCGAGCTTTGATTATCCAAGTTTGTTCACACTTAGTTCAATGACCTTAACAGATTGATTCAATAGAAGTTTTCTCACCTGGCAAAGATATAAGGTAAGAGCAATTATTATCTTCTATTACATTAATAACCAATTATTTAATTAGGATTGAGGTTTGTTTTATTTCCTCATTCAGGGACCGGCCCTTGCGAGTGATTCAGTCTCTGAAGGACACTGATGATAGATGTGACCACCCAAATCCTCTGGGAACATGAGCCTTGATCTTAGGGGGGACCCCACCCACCTAGGAGACCTTACTTCTGTTTAGAACAGAATCTAATCTAGGTGAATTCCAACCCCAAAGCATCAAGTCTACACCCCTGCTCCTCTCCATGAGAGTTTAGGGTAACCCAGCTCACACAGGAGAAAACCAACCACAGCGGTCTGGGTAGAGATGGATTCCTTTGTCTGGATGGCTGGGGGCAGCTGAGTCTTAGGATCAAGCCGTGATCTCAGCAGGAGGAACTGAAGGCTTTCATCCAACTCCTCATTTGAAAGTCCACCCCCTCATGAATTGTTCACCAATCAGAGCTGATTTTCACCTCTCGGGGCACCCCTTTTTCCAAAGGTATTTAAGATTCAGTGATCTCCATGATTTGGTCTTTGGTTATTGAGAGAGACCACTGGCCATGAATTTATTGATTTTCAGCTAGTCTAATTAATACATTGATTATTAATTACCCAGAAACTGTGTCTCTTGGCCTTTTCATTTATCTCAAAGGACTAGAGTAATTTGTTGGTTACTTTAAGTGGGGTGGGATGATTAATTTACTGCCCCCCCCATATATGATTTACTGAAATACATTATTTGGATTTTTTAAGTTTCTTCCTATTTTGTTAGGAGATCAGCAATGCTTGGATCGTCTTGCTAAGTTCCATTGAATATCACTAGTAGAGAATCTTTAAAATATTCCAGATCTGCTGTTCTTGATTTTCCTTTATTATTTGTTTTTGTCACTTTTGAGTATTTGTTCTTTATCCAGGCAATTCCATTCCTCTGAGAATCTGCCAATTTATTAGCATTGCCCACTGTGCCATCAGGTCTCATATTCTTTCTGTTCTCTCATCATTCATGAATTGATATGTATTTTTATATATACCATATATTTTTTTTTTAAAAAATTGAGGTTGTTAACCATTCTGAAGGGTTTTTTTTTCCTTCTGGGTATGTTGCCCTTTTTGGAGATTTCTTTTTTATTCCATAAATTGAACCAATCTATTTTTGCTTGCTTGTTGTGTCCGGTTTGTGTGTGTGTACGTGTGTGTTTTGGGAAGGTGATTTTTCCCTGGAAAGGTGGATCATCTTTTCCTTTTTTGCTGTTCTTTTGCATTGCACGTTTGTTACTGGTCCCACGATGGAGGGGAGCTGGGCTTGGACGTGACATTTCCTCAGCCATCTTGAAATCCTCCTTGTTTTGCCTAGCCTTAGTATAGCATTATGCGCTTTTCAAAGTGTTTGCTCGCTACGCGATATGTGCCATTTGGTTGGTTTTCCTTAGCTGGAATCGCTGAAGTTGGCCTCAGAGTCCTGACCATGAGCATGGAGGGTTTTCATGATCCTGTGCTGTATCTAAGTGACCTTTGGCTTATTGCAGGGAATCTCCTAGTACTGCTTATGCTCAGAAACCCAACAAACAGAGATTGTCTGATAAAAGCGACCTCTTCATTTCCTTTGAAACAAGTTGACTTTGAAACTTAAATATTTGCATTTGCTCTTCTTGTTTATTGGGGGCTTATTTACCATGCAGATGTTGGGGGGCTGAGGAGAGGGAGCTGACAGATTCTTTCAGCTTTGCTGCAGGAAGTCACACATTAACCACCACCTCGATGGATTTTATGCATTTCTCCTTTAGAAGGTTTATGCTCATAAAGTCTGCACCCCTCTCCCCTGATACACCCCTCTCCTCCAATCTGTTCAGTTTACCTTGGTTTATGCTCTTATCTATAGCCCAGTCTTCTGTAAATCATCAGGTTAGCTCAAGCTGTCATCATAAGAAGATGTGATGGGGTACAGGAGAAAGAGAGTAGAATGCAGAATCATGGGATGCGGATTGGCATCCTGAGCCTACCATTTAATCCCTCCCCAGCTTCTGTTTCATTGTCTGTAAATGAGTGAGCTGACTTAGTATGTGTTGTGGGCAAGACTAGAACCCAGGTCTTCCTGACTCTGAGCTCAGAACCCACACTGCCTATTATCTCACTCTCTATAGCATTGCTTTTTTAAAAATAATTTTTATTGATACTTTTTTAAACATCACCATAATCTCTTCCAATAACCCTCCCCTTACCAGAAAGCCATCTCATATAACAAATAATGATTTTTAAAGAATGAAATAAAAAGCAAAACTGACTGATGTATCAAAATATCTGAAGATACATGCAATGCTCCACATCTGTAAGGCCTAACCCCCTCCCCTGCACAGAAGTTGAGGGGAAACATCTTCTGTCTCTTCTTTATGACCTTGTTTATTCTTAGTAATTTTGTAACATTCACTTTTGATTATTAGATGAAAATCATTGAATGCAATGAAATGATGTTAAACAGGAAGTGCATTGGGATTGTCCGAAGAGATTTGGTGATGTCCTGTGCATCTTAAGAAGAACAAGAAAGCTGGTTTGAAACCTGTACCTTCAAGTGCCTGGACAGCCTGGAAAAGAGAGAGAAGTCCAGCTAAGCCTCCAAGAGGTAGTCACTTGGCTGGAGGTGGGGCAGGGCAGAACACAGACCATCTCCTCTCACCTTTGGCCAGAGGATAATCTTGAAAATTTTGAAGGGTCAGGAGATTTTGGGTATCATAGCAGTGCCCCTAGAATAGCTGATAGAGGCTCTTTATCAGTAACTCCAAACACACAAGTTTCCTTGAGAAACAGCAGCTTCAGAACTCTCCAAAGAACCAGCAGAAGCTACCGAAGATGAACTTCATGAGGGAACCTCTGAGGGAGGAAAGGACTTTCACCCAGTCCTGAGCTGTGAATTGGCCACCTGGGATCTCTAAGCACACAGACTTAGAGGCCACCTTCCCTGGGACTCTGTTGGTACCTGTGGGGGAGTGTGTCCAGACTTTTGTGGGATGCTTCGTACTGGCTGTTTTTACTATACCACCTAAGTAAATAGTCCTAGAAGCTAATTAAGTCTGACTGGCTAATTATTATCAACTGGCAACCAAGGAAGAAATATGCCAGTGGGTACTTGTGAGCCATGGTACTAGGTAAACTGCCCTTAAACCCAAGGTTACCCCAGCTGCTCTCTGGGGTCCCAGTTTACCAGTGCAACAGGGGGTCTGGCATAGTAGCCTTAGAGGCTGCCCTCCAGTTGTGTGACTGGAAGAAGGTTATGTATCAAGAACACAGGACAGTAGACGGAGAGTCCAAACCACAGCCCAAGTCCCCCTAACATGTTAAAACCTGCTAGGAACTACATATACACAGAGAAGGAAACATAGGATCATAAAACTTGAGTTGGAGGGGCCCTCAGAGAGCGTCTAGTGCAACCTGATTTTACAGATGAGGAAACTGAGGCCTAGGGAATGAATGACTTACCGAAGGTCATACAGATAATAAGTGATTTGAATTCAAATCCTGTGATTCTAAGTTTGGAATTCTTCCCACTGCATCATTACATAGAAAAGAGAAAAAAGGAGGGCACTAGCAACCAGGGGCTTCAGGAATTTTTATAGGAGGTGGTACTGAGCTGGCTTTGAATTAAGCTGAGTATTAAAGGGGCCCTAGGTGATTCAGGAATACATTTCAGGCAGGGGTGACGGCTTGGGTAAAGGGAAATGTAGTGTTATATACAGGGACCAATTAAGCCAGTTTGGCTGAATCATAGAGGTCCCAGGTGACCCCAGAGAGGAGATTCCTAATCAAAAGACTGGCCTCCTCTCTGCTACTTAAGGGCGCTAGTGATTCTCTCAAGACCTTATGGAGGATACTTGGAGCTCAGAATGGGTGGGAAAGACCACTGGATTTGGGCTCGACACCTGAATCTGGTATGTAACCGTGGCAACCTGTGTCACCTTGGGCAAGTCACTCGCTTTCCAAGGGCCTCAGTTTCCTCATCTATAAAATGAAAGGGTTGGATTAGATGGCCTTCTGGTTCTGTCTAGAATTTTCTTTTTTTCATAATTAAAAAGTTTCAGTTTCAAATAATCTTTCTCCTTCTGCCCCTTCCCCATCCACGGAGAAGGCGAGAAATATGATAACATAATACGCATGAAGAAATATGACACCATTATACCTATGAAGTCACACAAAACATGTTTCTACATTAGCTGTATTACAAAGAAAGCCAGAAAAATGAAGTGAAAAACCAGTCGGCTCCATCCTGCACTCAGCAGTTGCTGATTTCTCTCTGTGGGGGCAGAGAACATCTTCCATCAGGAGTCCTTTGGAATTGTGGTGGATCACTGCATTGACCAGAGTAGTTAGGTCTTTCACAATGAATCATTATTATGATATGGTCTAGAAGTGCTAGGAACCTGGGAATGTGAGGGTACAGGGTGGGGGTCTGCCTCAAAAGAACCTGACCATTCAAGTCTTCTTCCAGTCAGAGACAAAGTTTATTGTGTAACCAATAGAAGTGGCTGGGATTCTAAGAATCTGTGTATTTGATGAGGATAAAATTGGTGCTTTTATACAGAAAGACCATGGGAAGATCTGGATGGAATTAAGGAATGGCAAGTAACCAGGGGTGCTCCAGGTGCAGATGATGAGGGCCACAATAAAAGGGCAGTTAAAAAGATTATTGACTAGGATGGGCCAGGTGCCTCAGGTGACTGCCAGGGATCTGAGTTCAGGGGCTGGGTTCCTGAAATTTGTGGGAAAGTTCAGGGGCTTTTTCTTTTAGGGGTCCAGATCCCCCCCCCATCAATTACAATGTTGCTGTTATTGTGTACAATGTTCTCTTGGTTCTGCTCATTTCACTTTGCATCAGCTCATATAAGCCTTACTATGTTTTTCTAAAGCCATCTCCTTCTTCATTTCTTAGACAATAATTGTATTAGGTCTGGAATCTTTGGAGGCTGACTAATGACTCTCTGGTCCTAGAAGCAGCTCACTACCAGGAATTGCTAGAGTCTTCTTTAAGGGATGCCAGAAGGAGACTGAGTTCAAAGCCTCCCAGAGCTGATGGAAATGGTCCAAGGTTTCCAGCAGTTCTCATAGCAACTCTGTGGGAGAGCAAAAGTTGTACAGTCAGCAGGTGGTCTTGGATTGGCTTCCCTGGAGGTGTCTTCTGTCGGGGCATTGACTTGGTAAGTCTGGTCTGAGCAGTGGTTGTAGAGAGACTGAAGGGAGATAACGGGACTGAGTGGTCACTCATCATACAGACATTTCTGCTGTGTTTGCCAAAGAAACAGAACATCTCTCGCCATCCAGGGTCCCAGAAAGAAGCCCAATCAAATTCTCAACCACATGATTTGTCTAGAGAAGCTGAGGGCTGTGTTTGGAATCCAGTCTATTTCCTTCTTTACTAGCCTCTGAGTGAGGGAGGCTCTGCTTGCTTCCTGGACACCCCAGCTTAGAGGACTGAAAGCAAAACCTGAGAATGCTCTTCTTCCTCCGATTCTCTAACAGTGCTGCTGTCTGGGGGCTTACCCAGTCTGGGGCAGGAGCAGTTGGATCCTCAGCCATCTACACAGTTGCTCTTGCTTGGTGGCTTTACTTCCATTTCCTCTTATCTCTGAGAAGAGGGCAGTGTCTCAAGTAACCTACTGACAAATATCAGTATTTTCCAATTAATAACCAATGATTAACATCAGGGTCCAGTTTTTTTCTCTTTTTACTTACTCACTTAAAGACTAGTCCTTTCAGGTCAATCAGTCTCTAGAGCACTGGGCTGATAAAATTGGCTTAAGCCTGCAGGAGCATTCTCTCTTTTGGGTGGGACCCCACCCAAATGGGAGAGCTTATTTATTTTTATTTTTTAAATATATAATTTCTTTTATTTTTCTTTTATTTTTTTGTTAACATTCCTTGTATTCTTTCTTTTTTAAAATTTATTTTATTAATTTATTTTGATTTATCAACAATCACTTCCATATGCTTTTGAGTTTAAAATGTTTCTCCCCCTTCTTCCCTACCACCATCCCCAAGATGGAGCACAATCTGATACATGCTATACATTTACATTCCTATTAAACATATTTTCCCATTAGTGAAGTTGTAAATACAAATTCTCACTAGTGTTTTGCTTTTGACTGCCTCCCTCAGTCCCTCCCTTCCTTTCTCTTTTCTTCCCCTTTAGCCTTACTGCTTCTTCCCTCCCTTCTATCCCCCCTCCCTTTTCTTTCCCCTTTTCCCTCCTACTGCCTATATGGCAAGTTAAATTTCTATACCTAACCGATTATGTTATTCCCTTCTTGAGCCAAATCTGATGAGAGTAAGGTTCAAACAATGCTCACCCCTCCCTTCTTTCCTCTGCTGTAATAGGATTTTCTGTTTTTCCTGTAATGTAACTTACCCTTGTCTGCCTCCTCCTTTCTCAGTACATTTTCTAAGATCAGACTAATCCACTTACTTGGAGCCATTTAACCCACTGGATTAGATTTTTTTTTTATCATTACATCAAAGTCAACTAATATCCATCCCTTTTATGTATACTTCTTTAACATGGTGTAATAACAATACAGTTCTCAAGAGATGCAAGTGTCATCTTCCCTTGTAGGGTTGTAAACAGCCCACCCTTATTAACAATATATTGTATCTTTCATTTACCCATGTCTTTCTTGAATCTTGTACTTGAAGATCAAATTTTTTGTTGAGCTGGTCTTTTTATCAGGAAGGCTTGGAAGTCCCTTATTTCGTTGAATATCCATTTCCTCCCTTGAAAATCATGCTCATTTTTGCAGGGTAGTTGACCCTTAGCTGTAATCCAAGCTCCTTTGCCTTAGGAATATCATGTTCCACCCTGGTCTTTTAATATAGAAGCTGCAAGGTCCTGTGTAATCCTGACTGTGGTTCCATGATATTTAAATTGTTTCTTTCTGGCTGCTTGCAGCACCTTCTCTTTCATCTGGTAATTTTGGAATTTTGCTATTATATTCCTTGGCGTTGTCAATTTGGGATCTCTTTGAGGTGGTGACCAGTGTATTCTTTCTATGGTTATTTTACCTTCTGGTTCTAGGACTTCAGGGCAGTTTTCCTTTATGATTTCCTGAAATACTGTCCAGGCTCTTTTTTTCATCATGATTTTCAGGTAGTCCAATAATTTTTAAATTGTCTCTTCTGGATAGATTTTCCAGGTCAGTTGTTTTACTGATGAGATATTTTATGTTTTCATCTATTTTTTTCATTTTTTTGTTTCTGTTTGACTGATTCTTGCTCTGTCATAGAGTCATTAGTTTCCATTTGTCCAATTCTAGTTTTTAACATATTGTTTTCTTCTGTTAGTTTTTGTACTTCTCCAATTGGCCAATTGTATTTTTAAGGGATTTGTTTTCTTCAGTGTACTTTTTTTCCAGTTTGCCAATTGTGTTTTTAGGGACTTGTTTTCTTCAGTGTACTTTTTTCCAATTGGCCAATTGTATTTTTTAAGGACTCTTCTACCTCTCTCATTAGACTTTTAAAATCCTTCTTGAGCTCTTCTAAGAAGGCTTTTTGGGCTTCAGACCAGTTCATATTCCCTTTTGATGTTGCAGATGTGGGTTTGTTGACAATGTTGTCCTCTTCAGAATTTCTGCCTTGATCTTCACTCTTCTCATAATATGAATCTGTGTTGTACATTTCTTTTTACTCATGGTGTTTCTTTATTCCCTGGCCTTTAAAGAGATTGAGCTCTCCTGTTGGGGAGCAGAGAGCACTGACCCAAGCTTCTTGTGTTGGGAGTCTAGGTCTTGATCACTGGCTTTGTGTGCTGGTGCCTCTTATGTTGGCAGTTGGAGGCTGTAGAGTTCTGGCAGCTTACCTCGTGTTGGGCTGGAACCAGCAAGGCTGGAACTTTCAGGCAATTCTAGGTTGTCTGCTTTTCCTTTCCTTTAGCTTTCTTCAGCTCCTTTTAGATGGGTGCTGCCAGGTGTTCATCTGCCTGGGGCCCCTTGCAGTGCTGTCTCCTTCGTTTCTGCTAATACACCCAGAGATTCCTTTGTGGTAGAGTGCCGAGGCACCTGGTGGTTTTCTGAGC